CAAAATTGAAATATCTTTTTATTAAGTGATAATGCAGATTATAGATCTCATTTTTGGTTAATTATGGAATATTCAGAGGTGTCTGAACAATCTGGTATGCAGCTGATTGGATAAATAAATGGTTTTGGTGCTGCAACGTTAACTTTACAATGTTTGTCTTATAGTCCATTCTAATCTGATTTTATTAATCACCATTATTGAGAACGCTTTTTTCTCCAAATATTGCAACAGACACAATTATAGATACAGAACTTCAAAGAGTTGTATCTGCAGAGGATTGTATCATTTAAATCAGGGGTGTCAAACTCAATTTCATTGAGGGCCGCGTTATGATTGTTTTTGACCTTGGAGGGTTGGGGGGGCGTGACAGTACTCTGCCACTCTGCCAGCCAAAATGGGCCGTGGGGGTTAATTACAAAATGTGGACTTTGCTTTGTGGCATCCACATCCAGCAAGCAAGGAGTGTGAACTGCACAAAAAATACACTTTGGTTTGGCTATGAAGAAATATCCCCAAAGTCAAGATGTAGACTAAATGTAGACTGGCTTTTTAGCTACACATCTTCCCAGAAACACAGCAAATTTTGAAGCTCCAGGTAAAGAGGATTCATTTTAGGATGAGTAACAACAATTTGCACGTTGGAGGTTCCTAAAGTAATGTTGGAAAACTCTATTTTAATGAGGGAGGGGTGCAGAATAGCCCTTCTCTGCCTGAGGGTGTAGAGACCCGGCACCAATCAAAACTTGTGAAGCAACTGATCAGTACTGACAGGATGAGCCACTAGTATATGAATATAAAAGCAAACTCCACCCCCTTCTAGCACTGATGATGTTACCTAGTTTGGTAATGAAACATCTGCAAAAAAACCCTTCAAGCTCAGAGAGCAACAAGGACCCCATAGTTCAACCCTGAGCTATAAATACTCTCTTCTATCAATAAACACTTTTTAGTTAGAGGGATTCAGAGCCTGCCTTATATGAGATGGCTTCCAGTGGATTTATATTCTAAATTTTGATACGATTTCTGTAAATAAGGAATGTAGAATTATAATGGCTAAGTCTTTGATCCTTCATACATCACAAGAATACAAAGCTAAGGAATAAACAAAAAACAGATTTGAAAAAAGAAAAGGCTCATGAAAGAAAAAAAAAGTGAAAGTGTAAGAGAGAAAGTGGAAAAGAAGGAAAACTGAAAAAGAATGACTTCCAACTTTCTTTGGTACAGATATAAGTAAAAAATATATCGAAATCTTACTCTAACATTAACATTTGTCTACATTATTTCCACAATCCCATATCTAATCATCAAAGCCCCAGATCAGCTTTTAATTTGTTTCTCACAAAAAGTCCAGTAATAGTTCATATCGCTTTAATCATTATTTGTTAAGGAAATCACAACTGATTTATTTAATTGCACCAAACTCTAAATAAAATAGGAATGGAAAATCCTAGTCTAGACCCATGCCTCTCAACTTTGGCAATTTTAAGGTGCATGGATTTCAATTCCCAGAAGTCTCCAGGCAGCATGACGTTCACCCATCTTAAACTTGCCAAGATTGAGAAACACTGATCTGGGAATTTTTCCATTCCTCTTTTACTGGTTCTTACTTACTTGTGAGCAATCGTATTGCAAAATCCTAACTTGGAACCCTACCCCAGAGCAATCATGATGCAAAATCCTCCCTCCCAACCCACCCCAAGAACAAGCATGATGCAAAATCCTCACCCCACTTCAGACCAATCGCGATTCCCTTACTAACCTGCTTTCCACATTCTCCTGAGTGCAGGGCAACAAAAGAAGATCATGAGACTACCAACTAGAAAAAAAAAGTGCAATCAGACCTTCCAACTTCTCAGGTGGGAATAAGATCTTGTGAAGTTAGAAGGTGGGATTGAACTTTTTTTTTTTTTAACTGGTAGTCCCAAAGTCGTCTTTTGTTTCCCTGCATGCTGGAGGATGGAGCTGGAAAGCAGCTTAGTGAGGGAATTGTGGTTGCTGCAGGATTTTGCAGGAGGCCATCCAGGCCGCAGGGGCCCCATTTTCGTTACCAGAAGCACCGCAGGCCAGTCCTTTGCTATTTCAGGCTGGCCCCATGGCCCAGATCCAAGTACCCTGCAGGCTGGATCTGGCCCGTGGGCTTGAGTTTGACACCCCTGATTTAAATGGAGAGAAACGGAAAGGAAGGAAAGTTATCAGTGTTAGCCAGTCACATAATACATTTAATCATCTATTTCTTTTGGTGGAAAAGCTCTATGAAAATAAATACTAATTGATGTTATGAGTTATTTTAATTTTCTATTCAATATATTTTTTATATGTGATGAATATTGCACTTAAAAATTGTTAATGTACACTATGATATCAGATGTGTATAAACAGTACTGTGATTAATTCAAAGAAGTAGAAATATTAACTTTGAAATGCCCCTTTTATAACTTTTTTTGTAGGTATTAATAACAGAGCATGGTGATTTGGGCAATGGGAAATTTTTTGATCCAAAAAACAAGATTGCTTTTAAATTTGATCATTTGCGAAAGGAGGCTACAGATCCAAAGCCTCATGATGTTGAAAATGCAATTGAGTCATGGCGAAACTCCATAGAAACAGCAATGAGAGCATATGTGAAGGAACACTATCCAAATGGTGTCTGCACAGTAAGTATCACAATCTGGAAAATGCTTGGATTAAAACTATTATTTAGGTTGCATAATTGATTTTTTTTTTCTGCTTTAATTCATGGGAGATCATGGATATTGTACAAATATAGCTATAATATAGTCATCTTGTTGTGAAATGGCTGAAAATAGATATGGCAACTAGGAATGTTGATAACCAACAGAATTATCAATACTAAAGGAAGAAAACCACTAGCGACATTCTTTTTCAACGGTGCTCATTTTACAGTATACACTCGGATGTTCTATTAGTATGATTATAGAGATGAATGAAATGGAAAATGTTTTTGCACATTGTTGCTCATACATCGATCAAACCATTCTCGGGTGGGTTGTGGTGTAATCAAACCAAATCTGGAACATTTTTATTGTTCCAAGTTTTACTTGTGACCCACTTCACAATAATGTTAAAATATAAGTACAGAAAGGTTGGTGTACTTGCTCTGCTTTTGTGTCTTGCTCCGTATGGCCTCTCTGCCAGCCTGTCCACTGATTTTGTTACATACATATCAGCCACCCTATCTATGTCCTTTCCAGTAAATTTACATGTAGTTTTCGATTTAGTACCACAATTGATTTCAACATTTCTGGAACTACGCAAGACAGTTGAGATATGCCCCATGACTTTTTCTGGTCGCAGTTGTTAAACAAATCATTGCAGTCCTTAAGTGAATCATTTGGATGTTATGTGAATCTGGCTTCCCCCCATTGATTTTGCTTGTTGGAAGCCAGTTGGGAAGGTTACAAATGGTGACCACGTGACCCCAGGACAGTACAACTGTCATAAACACATGCCAGTTGCGAAGCACCCAAATTTTGATCACATGATTATGGGGATGCTACAACAATCATAAGTGTGAAAACTGGTCATAAGTCACTTTTTCAGTGCTTTTGTAATGGTCACTGAATGGTTGAAGTTGATGACTATCTGTACTTGTCTCCCTTTGACTGCAACGTATCACCATCTTTTATTTACTATCTTATCTCACTATGTAGAGAATGTTTTAAGCATCCCTAATAGGTAAAAATATTCAAAGAATTCAATAGAATGAATTCCACAGCTATTCTATTTTCAGTGTTTGATGAAGGCCACTTATAAAACATGAGCATAACAGTACTCTATATCTACTAATACTAGTATTTAAAGGTACATTGTGTTCACTAATAGAAACAATATGTAATCATAATCAAAAGCAAGTAGCTGTGTTTAGCCCTAATAGTAATTATGATTTTTACCCATATAACAAATAGTTCATCATAATGCCAAATCATAATGAGTAAAATCCAAAGTTATATTATTGCATTGTGTAATAGATGAATCCAGACATTCATAGCTTAATATAGATGAATTTGTGTGATTCAATTTAGGCTACAATCTGCCAGGAAGTTCATGGGAAAAGTGCTTTCTTTGTTTTTCATTACAGAATAAAGAAAAGAACTATTCTCATTTTATCAGAAGCAATATTTAGCTGTGAATTCAGTGAAAATGTATGATCCTCTATTCCCAAATTTGTTGTTTGGCGTGTTATGATTTATTAGCCAATATTATTCTTTAGGTTATTCAGTATTTTGATGGATCCATAAATATACTGTATATTAGCAATATGTTTTTAATGAACACTAATGTCAGTGTCAGAAGGTGTTTTTGTATGATTACAGAGTGAGGAAAGTATCTAAAGTTTGAAGGCTAACATTCTCCCCCCCCCCCCATTTGTGATTCAGGTATATGGAAAAACTATTGATGGACATCAAACAATTATTGTTTGCATTGAAAGTCATCAGTTTCAAGCAAAAAACTTTTGGTATGTATAAACTGTTTTATTTTGAAATAGATTCCAAAGAAAGTTTTATTGGCATTTTTATTTCAGCATGTTTAATTTTAAAATACATGTTCATCTTGTGTAATATCAGTTATTATAGATATATTTCAGTTGTGACACACTAGTTTCCCTTCTGCTGACTCTCCTAAAAGTATCTGACAAGACTTGTTGTAAAGATTCTTTAGTCCTCCGGAGCAATTTTAGGGGACTGGCAGAGGCTTCAGTGAGAGATCAATATTATTAAATTGATCCAAGATTTTGAGCTATATTGGAGAAACATTAATGTGAAATGTGTGTCTCTGTGTGTGGAATTTTATTAAAAATATATGCAAACTGTTTGTAAATAAAGTTTTGCTGCTTTTAATTTAAATACAGTGTAAAGAGTTGAAGATTAGAAAAATCTTTTGAAGAGCTAAAGCAGAAGTCCTTGAAATACATCATTTTGTAGTGATAATTTTCAAGACATAGTTCTCTCTCTTTCCCCCCCCCCCCCCCCCCCCCCCCCCTTCCCTGCCTCCCCTGTCTCCTTTTATGGATTTGTTTTTTAAAGGAATGGTCGTTGGCGATCAGAATGGAAATTTACTATAACGCCTTCTACCACCCAGGTAGCAGGTATCTTAAAAATTCAGGTATGGCTACCCTAATTTTCCAAAATAATCTCAATAGCCTAATAACATCCCATGCAAATCTGAAAGATAATTTATGTATATTTTTAAAGATTATTTTGCATTTTTCTATTGGATAAGTGTACATGTAATCCTCAACATGACCACAATTGAGCCCCAATTTTTTGTTGCTAAGTGAGATTTGTAAAATGAGTTTTGCCTGATTTTACATCCTTTCTTGCCTCAATTGGTAAGTGAATCACTGCAGTTAGTAACTTGATTGTTAAGCTAACCTGGCTTCCCCATTGACTTTGCTTATCGCATGACACTGGGACACTGCAGCTGTCATAAATATGAACCAGTAGCTAGGCATCTGAATTTTGATCACATGATCATGGGGATGCTGCAAAGGTCGTAACTGTGAAAAACAGTCATAAGTCATTTTTTTAAAATATTTTTTTGCCAGTAAGTATATGTCTGGTCACCGATATTTAGGTCTCTCTGAAAATTTCATTTTCCTGGGAGGAAATTGAGAGTAAATAATTGGTGGAAAATGAATCGTATCTCAATCTGCCAAAGATTATTTCTTATTTTGGAAGCCATAAAATATCACTAATATATGCTGCCAGTTTCTGTTTGTAATTATTTTACTGTGAACTTTCTGTGCATAGGTTCATTATTATGAAGATGGAAATGTTCAGCTAGTGAGTCATAAAGATATACAAGATTCTCTAACAGTGACTGTAAGTATCTTTTCCTGTGCATCGGTATAGGAACATTACATATTTTCCATATTATATTTTATAAAAGAAGTTGCCATTATTTTCTTTATATTAGTGAAAAGTTAGCATGCTAATAAAAATGAACATATGAGCAGCAAAAAGCAACCTGTCCCACCTTTAGTTAATACCGTGTTTCTCCAACAATACGGCCTCCACCAATAGGAAGATCCAGCATGTTTTCTAGGCATAAAATCAAATTAAGCCCCTCCCCCCAAATTTAGGCCTAGTTTAAAACATGCAAAATAGGGGGAAGGGTGGGGGGACTTGCCATTTGGAGTGCCGTTGGAGCTGCCACCGCCGTTTGGAGTGCCGTTGGAGCTGCTGCCGCCATTTGGAGCCGCCGCCGCCGTTTGGAGTGCCGCCGTCATGTTTGGAGCTGCCACTTCCGTGTTTGGAGCTGCCGCCGTGTTTGGAGTGGCGGTGGTGCTCCAAACAGCGGCAGTGCTCCAAACGCGGAAGCGGCAGCTTCAAACGGCGGCGGCGGCTCCAAACGGCAGAGGCAGCTCCAAACGGCAGAGGCAGCTCCAAACGGCGGCAGCAGCTCCAACGGCACTCCAAACGGCGGCGGCTCCAAACGGCAGAGGCAGCTCCAAACGGCGGCAGCAGCTCCAACGGCACTCCAAACGGCAGCGGAATGGGCAGAAGGGAAAGCAACAGCGGCAGGTGCCAAAGGTCTTGGGTCTGCAGCAAAGGTGTTTGGTGGGAGTAGGGAGCTCTCTGCGCTTCGCCATGATCGCCCGTTAGGAGCGGCTGGTGGCAAGGCTGCCTGCGGGGCGCTCTAGATGAGGATGAAAGGGGGGGAAATTAAGTTACCCCCGAAAAGACGGCCTAGCCGTTTTTTCGGGGCTCAAAAAAAAATAAGGCCCGGCCTTATTATGTGAGAAACACGGTATTCCTGATGTGTGTATGTGTGGCACATAATAAAATGTGTCACAAAGTAATTACATTACTTGTGTCTGATGTTGACGTATAAGTATGACAATTACATTGTCACGTACATGAAACATTTTTGTCATTGTGACTTGCAAAATTACATGTATGTTTCCTTCAAAGGGAACCTTCACATACAAGTAGAAAAAGTACTTAGATCTCTTTCTACAGTTGACTTTATTAACAGAAATTGACAGAAGTAACGCTTTGATCTAGAAATGTGAACAGATTTTATATTCTGAATCATTTTGCCAAACTTTAGCACAGACTATTTGTACTTAAAGCATTATTTCTAAGTAAAATTAATTGTAATGAACTATTTGAGACTTCTTTTAATATACAAGATTCCAAATTCATATTCTATTTCATTTTGAAAGCCTATTTTATTCAATAAAATTATTTTTATAAACAGCTGCTGTTTCAAACATAAAAATAGAAACTATATCTGTGGATTTGTGGTTCTTAACTGCTGAAAGTATGACATGTAAACATTTTATAAATGAATTAATTTTGAAGAATTTAAACAAGTGGAATTGAAGCTTTTCATGTTAACTTTATTTTGAGGCAAAACAAAGCAATAAAAATTACTCCCATCAATTAAATCATTTAACTGTAAATGAACAGTCTTTTATTTGCTCTAGGCAGATAACTATAAGAAAAGGAGGAAGTTAGTGAAATCTATACCTTTTGGAGCATTAATTTTATGAGTTATGCCTGTGTGTTTTGTGTGTGTGTGCGTATGTCTGTCTGTCTTCAAGTAAGTGTTGATTCCTGATGATTGCTCCCGCAGTTTTCTTGGCAAGTTTTCTGAAGTGCTTTTGACACTTTCTGTCTCTGTGTGTGTATATGTGTGTGTGTGTGTGTGTGAATGTATGTATATGTATGTATGTGTATGTTTGCACACATGTATACACACACACACACACACACACACACACACAGTGCACAATTAGGCAAGTTTACTTTGGAAGATTAATTTTATTTTTGAACAACTACAATGCTTTTGGTCAATCCAAAATGTTAATAAACCTCAAACCTGAATATTTTAAGAAAGTAAAAGCAAAGTTTTGGCTTTCTTAGGAGAATATCTATCTGTGCATAATTATTGGGCAACTATTAGTGTGCAGAATTATTATGCAACTAAATGAAAAATGAAAATTTGCCCATCTCACTTGTTTATTTGCATCAGTTAAAGTGAGAATAATAAACAAACAACTAAATGTACAAATAGACATTATTGACATTGTAAAAAATAAATAAATCACTGACCAATATAGCCACCCTTCTTTTCAATAACAGTCATATGCCTTCCATTCATGGAATCTGTCAGTTTCTTGATCAGTTGATTATCATTTTTATTTATTTTTTATTTATTTTGATTTGTCAATCGCTTACAAGCTAATAGGTATAAGTATATACATAGTTATGAATTCATGAAATGGGTACATATAAGAAAAATAAAAGAAACAATAGGACAGGGACAGTAGGCACGTTGGTGCGCTTATGCACACCCCCTACAGACCTCTTAGGAAAGGGGTGAGTCAATAGTAGACAGTCTAAGGTTAAAGTTTTGGGGGTTTGGGGAAGAAACCACAGAGTCTGGTAGAGTATTCCAGACATTGACCACTCTGTTGCTGAAGTCGTATTTCCTACAATCAAGTTTGGTGCGGTGAACCATGAATTTGTATCTATTGTGTGCTCTTGTGTTGTTATGGTTGAAGCTGAAGGGTAGCAGTATTGTCTGTGGTATTGAACAGTTTACATCATCAGCGAAGAGAACGCAGTTGCTCTTAATATGATCACAGAGGTCATTTATGTAGAGTATGAAGAGGTCCTAGAACACTGCCTTGGGTACACCACTATTGACAGGTACAGAATTTGATAGGACACTCCCAATTTTGACCATTTGTTGTCTGTTTGACAGGAATGCTTCTATCTAGTTATGCATAAGATTTTAGTTTTAGGAGTAGTTTGTCGTGTACCACTGAATCAAAGGCTTTACAGAAGTCTATGTAGATTGCGTCTATTGCTTTGCCCTAATCGAGTTGTGTAGTCCATATGTTTTTGCAGTGTAAAAGTTGCAGATTACAAGATAGTAGGTTGTTTGTCTCTAAGTGTAGGATAATGGATTGGTTAATAATTGATTCCATGACTTTACAGGTGATGCAGCATAAGGGTATTGGTCTGTAATTTTCAACTAGGCTGGGGTCTCCCATTTTGAAGATGGGGATGACCGTGGCTTGTGACCATAATTTTGGCAAGGAGCTGGTCCTGAAAGATTTTTCAAAGATTATGCTTAGAGGTTCGGCTATGGCAGTGGGTAGCTTTTTTAAGAAGTAGGCACATATTCCGTCCGGTCCAATAGATAGAGATGGTTTTAGATTGCGTAGTGCTTTTTCAACAATGTCTTCTGTAAAATCGATATGTATTAGATCATTGTAGTTCGACTAGGAAATACTGGGCATGATCCATTGCTGTTTACAAATACTGAGCCAAAGAATGTGTTAAAGAGGTTGGCTTTAATGGTGTCATCGTTGCAGTCTTTACCATTAGGTCCTATCGGGTGGGATGGACCTTGAGTCTTTTAGTTTATTGTTTACAAAATTGTAAAAAGCACGGGTGGAATTGGTGCGTAGAAGGTTTTCCTCTTGTTTAATGTGATAATTGGTGCATTCAGTTTTTATCTGGTGGCATAAATGTTTGTATCGGCTTTTGAAGTTGGCAACGTGACCAAATTTGTTTTGTTTTTGTGCAATTCATCTTTTTGTGCAGCAGCAATGACAGCTTGAACAACTGTTCAAAGAGGTGTACTGTTTTCCTTCACGGTAAATCTCCCGTTTAAGAAGGGCCCACAAATTCTCAATAGGGTTTAGGTCAGGTGAGGGAGGTAGCCATGTCATTATTCTTTCATCTTTAAGGCCTTTATTGGCTAACCACGCAGTGGAATACTTTGATGCATGTGATGGAGAATTGTCCTGCATAAAAATCATGGTCTTCTTGAAAGATGCAGACTTTTTCCCGTACCACTGCTTGAAGAAAGTGTCTTCTAAAAGACACTTTTAGACACTTTAGACACTTCTAAACCTTCTGGCAGTAGGTTTGGGAGTTGATTTTGAGTCCATTTCAACCTGAAAAGATGCAATTAGCTCATCTGTAATAATGCCAGCCCATACCAGTACTCCACATCCACCTTGCTGGCCTCTGAGTCGAATCTGCTCCATCAAGAGTCACTCTCATCTCATCAGTCCATAAAACATTTGAAAAATCTGTCTTCAGATATTTTTTGGCCCAGTCTTGCCATTTCAACTTGCGTGTCTTGTTCAGTGGTGGTTGGCTTTTTTCAGCCTTTTCTTACCTTGGCCATGTCTCTGAGCACTGAACACCTTGTACTTCTGGGCATTCCAGGTAGGTTGCAGTTCCGGAATATGACAGCACTGATTTGATTCTTCTCAAATCTTTGGCAGTTCATGTACATGTTTTTTTCTCAACATGTTTCTTGCGATCATGTTGACTATTTGCAATAAAATGTTTGATGGTTCTGTGATACCTTAGCAATTTCAAGAGTGCTGCATCCCTCTGAAAGACATTTTATAATTTTTGACATTTCAGAATCAGTTAAATATCATTTTTGGTCCATTTTACCTGAGGAAAAGAAGCTGCCTAATAATTATGCACACCTTGGTATAGGGCCGTGGTGGTGAACCTATGGCACGCATGCTGGAAGTGGCACGCAGAGCCATTACTGCTGACACGCGAGCCCACGCCCAGAAAAGGTTTACTGTGCATGCGCGCGTGCTGCCCACCCAGAAGCTGATTGTTGGGTATCTGGCACGCATGCACGGTGGCACAGCATGGGGCAGGAGACGTGCACATGCGCAGAAGCACATGGTGTGCAGGGGAATCACACATGCATGCGCCGAAGCGTGCAGCGTGGGTCATGCAGGTTGTGTGCACATGCGCAGGGAGGATGGGGGCCCTGTGCACATTGCCTTCTGGGTGATGGCATGCAAGCGCACAAGCATGAGCGCAATTATCGGCACGGGAGCCCAAAAAGGTTAGCCACCACTGATATAGGGTGTTGATCTCCTTAGGCCACACCTTCCCTCATTAACACATATGCACATCACGTAATACACTTATATCATCTAAGCATTCAAATTTATACAGCTTGGAGGTGGAAAATATGCATAAAATGATGATATGGCCAAAATGCTTGCTTAATAATTGTGCAGAGAGAGAGAGAGAGAGAGAGAGAATGTGTGTGTGTATGTGTGTGTGTTTTCTTAAGTTTTCGTGGGTATTTACATGTATGGTATTCAGCTTTGTTCGAGTATTTTCCCACGTCATTATAGTTGTGCTTTTAAAGTTGTAGCAACGTTTCGGCAGAATCTCATCTGCCATCATCAGGTTTCTATATTGTGTTCGTCTGTGAGTCAGACTTTCACAGCCGTTTCAGTTTTAAATTTGGGGCTAGCCTACTGCTATGCCGGAATGGTTTCTTCTTCATCCTGATTGGTTGGGAGTCTTGGTCTGTGTTTATTGATCTTGGAGTTTGCTGTGTTCTGCTTGATTGGTGTTTCTAATATCTTCTGTCTGTTTTGTGGCTATTTTGTCTTGATTGGCTGGCAACATTGTGTTTCCTGTACTGGAGGCTTTTAGTGTGGCTTGGCTCCGAGTAAATGGATGGCTATCATGTATTAGGAAGCTAGGTTTCATCTGGGTGCCTGGTTGGGGTGTGTTTGAGCTGGAGATATCGGGGGGGGGGATCTGTTTGTGCCCAGGTGTTTGCCTGGCTTGTGGTGTGGAGATTTTTTTGTTTGTGAGTGCAGGCTTCCAAATAATTGACAGTCTGGTGGAATCATCTCTTCTATTCATGCTTTCAAGTCTTTTTTCAATCTCTATGGCTTCTCTGATAGCCACAGAATTATGGCACGCATGTGTGCATGTGCACAACTCAAGTTGTGAGTGGTGGACCAATGTGTGTTGCTCAACTTATGCAAGTTGAGCTGTGCATGTGTGCACACCAGCCAGCAGCTCGTGTGGCCTGGTTCCAAATAGGGCATGTGCCAGAAGTGGGCTGCATCCGGGGGTTGGGCACCCCGGTTTAAAGGTACTCCATGTGAAATACATTGCAGTCAGATAATTCTTGTAGAATATCCAGTGACTGTCCAAAGTTATAATGGCATTGGACAAGGGAACTTACAACCATTCCTTATAGTTGCGACTGTCACAATGTCCCTATGGTCATGTAATCATGATTCAGGTACCTGGCAATTGGCTCACAATTACATAACCATGGGACATTGCAACCATGTGAGATTCACATAACAGTGGTCCCTGGAACTGCCAAAACTATTGCCATAAATTGGTGTGTTACCTTGTTGCTGGTTCCAATTACCATTGTTAAGTGGAGATAACCTGGAGTCTATACCTATTACGATAAAGCTTGTTAATCTGAATGGGTAATAATATTACTTTGAGGCTTTTCTGCATTTCTTACATCATCCTCTAGATCAGGAGTGTCAAACTCATGTCATGGCAGCGTCATGTGACATATCAGGACTTTTTTCCCCTTTTGCTAAACCGGGTGGGCATGATCAGCGCATGATGGATCCAACCCGTGGGCCGGGAGTTTGACAGCCCTGCTCTAGATTTTATACTGATAAAAGTGTCACAATTTAACAAAATATCTACTCTCTCTTTAATTTGTGTACTGTATTTGAAATATTTGATCTTAATAGTGATAGTTACCTATTTATGGTAGATTTAATTCAGAAATGTTTTCTTTTTTATAGAATGAAACCCAAACAGCAAAGGAATTTGTGAAGATTGTAGAGGCTGCAGAAAATGAATACCAGGTATCATGGAATTTTATAAGACTACTGCATATAATCTCAACTGTTGTTCTGAATTTTACTGGGCAGCTTTTATCTTGTTCCTGTTATATTATATGTTCAAAATAAGATGAAAGGCTATTAAATTCAAGATGATTGCAATACATAGAATAAATTTACCAAGCATATACATGACAGAAAAGTATAAGAATCAATGGATGTGATCACAGAGAGATAACATTTGGCAGATCACTTATTTGCAATAACAGTATTGTGAACACTATTTCATCAATATGGTAACAGATGACATGGCAGATAACCCTATTCAATCCAAACTCCAATATATTTTTTTCCAATAAATTTTTATTATTTTCCACTAGTACAAATTTTAGTTATTTTTTCAACAATATTGAGATCCACATATAATATTGTCTTATTCTTTTAACATCTATTCATACCTATCCTTAATACATATTATCCTTGTTTATCATTAATCATTAATACATGTTACCTTTATATTACACTTATTATTGTACATCTTTGATCCTTCCGTCCTATTATATCTTGTTTGTCACTTTCTTGAGAATTCTTATTCAATCATCTTTTCTAATTCTTATCTCTCTTTTTCTAGCCACATGTACCATCTATGCCAAACCGAGTAATATTCTGATTCTTCTTTCTCTCTCATTTTAAGTGTGAGCATGTCCATTTCAGCACAGTCTGCTATTTTTTGTATAATTAACTCTTCAGTTGGGGTCCTCTGCTCTTTCCACATTTGCGCGTAAGCTATTCTGGCCACTGACAATATGTCCAAAATTAAATATTTTATCTTTTTGAATAATCCCAAGTAGATAGATTTCCGGTTTGAATTCAGTTTGGCCTCCGATAATTTCTTGTGTCCAATTCCTAATTTTATTCCAATAGGTCCTGGCCTGAGGGCATAGCCACCACATGTGATAGTAGGTACCATCAGCTCGTTGGCATTTCCAACATTTTGGATTGGCGTTCGGATATACCTTGGCTAATCTTGTCGGGGCTAAGTGCCACCAATAGAACATTTTATATAAATTTTCCTTGTATGTTGCGGCCGTTGTTAATTTATAATTTAGACTCCATAATTTTTCCCACTCATCTAAATATATATTATAACTGAAATTCTGCGCCCATGCTATCATTGTATTTTTTACTCTCTTCTTCCATTCTGAAATCTAGCAAGTATCTATAAGCTTTGGATATAAATTTTTGCTCTGGTCCAATTAATATCTTATCCAATTGATTTTGTCCCATATCAAATTCAAATTCTTCTGAATCTGTTTTGTATCTGTTTTGAATTTGGAGATATGGCCACCAATCAATTGTAATTCCTTGTTCTTTTAATTCTTGATTTGATTTTAGTCTCCCTTGGGCATCTAATAAATCCTTGTATTTTATCGTTTTACCTAAATCTAGTCTGTTTGGATGTATCATGACCTCCAAGGTTGACAACCAGCGCGGTATTCTTGTGTAGTGTTTTTTCCCCCCCATCTTTGTAGTAATGAATCTCTTATTTGATGTCTATTAAAATAAGCTTGTGTTTTGCCCTTTTTCTCCAATAGACACGCGTGCCAACCTTCATGGAAGTCATGACCTTCTATCCTTAATATTCATTTATCACTTAGTTTAACCCAATCCTTAATCCAATTCAGTATCGCTGCTTGGTAATTTAGTTCCCAGTCCGGTAGCCCAAAACCACCTCTGCTTTTACTGTCTTGCCTCAATTTTAATTTGATGCGTGGTTTCCTACCCACCCAGATGAATTTTATTATTATTTTATTTAATTCATTAAAGAAGATTTTCCCTAATTTTATTAGGATCATCTGAAACAAATACATTAATTTAGGTAGGGTATTCAATATTTTCAATATTGCTACTCTGCCGAGTATTGATAATTGTAGTTTCACCCATGTTTCTAATCTTTCCTAATTTGTCCGATTAATTTGGTGTAATTATCTTCTTTTAGTGATGAGCCTCTGGCAGATAGCCATATTTCTAAATATTTTATTTTGCCCCCCACTCTGGTCTCAATTTATTTTGTATCTCTATTTTTTGATTTGCTGTGCAGTTTTTGATTATCAATTTGGTTTTATTTTTATTTTTAATCCTGCAACTTCCCCAAATTTTTCTATCTCTTGTAATAATATTGCTCCACTATCATTAGATCTTCTACAATGAATACAAGGTCATCCGCAAAGGCCTGGACCTTGTATTCTTCATTTTTAATTTTTATACCTTTTATTCCTGAGTTTCATCTGACTGCGGTAAAGAAGTACCTCTAATGGTAGGATAAAAAGCAGAGGTGATAGTGGGCACCCTTGTCTCACTCCTTTGCCTATCTCGAAATTGTCCGTACGTTTGCCATTCATTAATATACTTGCTATTTGGGTAGAATATATAGCTTGTAATGTTCTTACTATATTAGTTCTGAAATTCATTCTCGTTATTTGTTTTAGCATGAATTCCCAATTAAGGTTGTCGAAAGCTTTTTGTGCATCTAGGAAAATCAGTGTTGCCTGTTTTTCTGGATGTTCTTCGTAGTATTCTATTGAATTCAAAACTATTCTAATATTATTTTTAATTTATCTGTTTGGTAAAAAGTCATTCTGATTGGAATAGATAATTTCACTTAGGATGGTTTCAGTCTTTTTGCCATAATTGTCATAAATATTTTGTAGCCTGTATTCAGTAAGGAGATTGGTCTATAATTTGAGATTTCTTGTTGATCGGTACCCTCCTTCGGAATTAGGGTGACATATGCCAGTACTTTGGTAATTTCGCTTTTAGTAATGCCTCATTGTAGATCTCTAATAATATTAATTCAATTGTTTCATACATCTTGTTGTATATTTCACTAGGGAACCCATCTGGTCCCAGAGTTTGGTGTTTTTCTGCTTTCCTATTGCTCTTTTAAGCTCCGTTGGTGTTATTTCTCTGTTTATTACCATGTTTCTCCAACAATACGGCCTCCACCAATAGGAAGCCCCACCGTGTTTTATTGGCATAAAATCAAACTAAGCCCCTCCCCCCAAATTAAGGCCCATATTAAACATGCGAAATGGGGGGGGAATGGCCGGGGGGGCTTGCCGTTAGGAAGTACTTTTGTTGCATGCCCGGATATGGTGCTGCCTGTGTTGGTGGGGCACTTCATATCGGGAGATCTTCCACGACTGTTGCTTTCCCTTCTCCCTTGCTGCCGCAGCGTTTAGAGCAACGCCGCGGCATTTGGCGCAGCCATACGCAGCCAGCTAGGGCTCCTCCCTGCAACCGGAGCCCTGCGGAGACACTTGGCTTCAGGCGCTCCTGTCGCCACCGCCTTCCCTTTGCCTTCGAAGGTAAAGGCAATTCTTTTAAAAACGTCACCCTACTACAACAAAGCCTCCCCTGCCCAAGAGGGCAGCCCAACCCCACATGGGGAGGCGAATCTCCCGGGGCCGCAGTGCAGGATCGGCCCACCCTGGGAGAAGCACCCAGCCGCCATCCCTGCCTGGCGCCGGGCAGAGCGCGAAGAGCTTCGTCTGGGGTGCCCAGCACAGCTGACAGGCGGGCCCTCCTTCCCGGCAGCAGAGCTCTCACCAAGGCAGCAAGCGCCTCCCTGCCGGACCCTCCGCTCATCCCACCAGGGCCGCGCCGGAGCCATGTGGGCTGGGCAGAGCTGGGAAAGCGAGCCGCGGGTGCGTGTCCGCCTGCCAAGCGAAAGACCCAAGCTTGGCTTCCTTCCCAAGTTCCTCCAGCCCAAACCCGAAGGGGCCACCAGGAGAGGCCGCCCGAGGCAGTGATAGCGCCCACCCATCCGTGGACAGGGAGGAAAGGCGACGGCCTGCACCGCGTCCTCCGAGCTGAGCCCCGCTGAGTCAGCGCCTCTGCCTGATGCCCATTCTGCTGCAGCATTTGGAGCTGCCAGCGCATTTGGAGATGCATGGGGACGGGGACGGGCTGGGCGAGGGGTGGAAAGGACGGGGGGCTTCGGGCTCTCTCCGCCGGCCAGGGAAGCAGCGCTGCCATCACCTCGCCTCCCTGTCCACGGACAGGTGGGCGCTATCACTGCCTCAGGCAGCCTCTCCCGGTGGCACCTTCGGGTTCACGCTGGAGGGACTTGGGAAGGAAGCCAAGCTCAGGTCGGCCCGGCTCTTTTGCTTGGCAGGTGGGCGCGCACCCGCGGCTCGCTTTCCTGGCTCTGCCCAGCCCACATGGCTCTGGCGCGGCCCTGGCGGGATAAGCGGAGGGTCTGGCGGGGAGGCGCTCATTGCCTTGGTGAGAGCTCTGCTGCCGGGAAGGAGGGCCCACCTGTCAGCTGCGCTGGGCGCCCCAGACGAAGCTCTTCATGCTCTGCCCGGCGCCAGGCAGGGATGGCGGCTGGGCACTTCTCTCGAGGTGGGCCGATCCTGCGCTGCAGCCCCGGGAGATTTGCCTCCCCATGTGGGGTTGGGCTGCCCTCTCGGGAAGGGGAGGCTTTGTTGTAGTAGGGTGTCGTTTTTAAAAGAATTGCCTTTACCTTCGAAGGCAAAGGGAAGGCGGCGACAGGAGCGCCTGAAGCCAAGTGTCTCCGCAGGGCTCCGGTTGCAGGGAGGAGCCCTGACCTGCCGCACGTGGCTGTGCCAAACGCCGTGGCGTTGCTCTAACGCCACGGCAGCAAGGGAGAAGGGAAAGCAACAGTGGCGGAAGGTCTCCCGATACGAAGTGCCCCACCAATGCCGAGGTCAACATCCAAGCTGTCGTTGCCCACCCACCCGAGGATGCAAGGGGGGGAATTAAGTTACCCCCGAAAAGACGGCCTAGCCATTTTTTCGGGGGTCAAAAAAAAAAAAAAGGCCCGGCCTTATTTTGTGAGAAACATGGTATTTCTTTTTGTTCTTCTGAAATTGAATTCAAACTGTTTTCTTCTAAATATTGTATTATCTTTTCTTCTTCACCAAAATAACTTAACGTGATGTGTGTTTTTTCCTTCATTTGGCAACAGTTATTTCCTTCTTTGTCTTTCAGTTGTTGGA